CTTCCAGGACTGCATGTGAGTGGGAGTCCTTGTCTTAGGGGTACCGGGCTCAGGATGGCAACTCTAGGCTGAGCTCTCCTTTCACCCTCAGGCTATCATGATGAGCATCTGTTTGCAGTCCATGGTAGATGAACTGATGGTGAAGAAATCCGGCGGCAGTATCAGGAAGGTAAGTAGCAAGTGTGGACCAGGTAGTTGTGCTCGACCTTGCCTTTTGTACCAGGTGTGAGGGAGGGGAAAGTGCTGGGGATTCCCAAGGGAGTGGTCCTGCCCTTATCAGTGCCTTGTATCTCCATCCTCAGATGCTGCGCCGGCGGGTGGGGGGCACCCTGAGACGCTCAGACAGCCAGCAAGCAGTGAAATCCCCACCGCTGCTTGTAAGTGTTAAGTATCAGTACCTGGGCCCCAGGCTTCTCCTATCCGGGGATAGGAGAAGCCTTTTTCTGACATCTCTGCCTCTTCCCCAGGAGTCACCTGATGCCAGCCGGGAGTCCATGGTCAAACTCTCAGTGAGTTTCCCATGAGGGTTGGTGAAGTGGGTGTTTGTAGGGGGATTTCAGGGAGGCTTGAGCCCTCTGACCCCACCCTGCCTTTGTTACAGAGCAAGCTGAGTGCCGTGAGCTTGCGGGGAATTGGCAGTCCCAGCACAGATGCCAGTGCCAGTGACGTCCATGGCAATTTCGCCTTCGAGGGCATTGGAGATGAGGATCTGTGATCTCCAGTGCTAGGATGTCTGCCCTCTACCCCAGAGGAATGTTCAAAAACTTGCCCTGTGCCTGTATCCCCCAAACCCAGGGGTCTTTTCCTTCTTACCTTTCCCTTTTCTCCTCTTGGCCAGGGGCCTCCTAACCTTCCCTTCCCCCTTGGGCTGGCTGCACAAAGGATTATCCCCTTTTCAGAGCTGGCCCTCAATGCCAAATTAGCATTTAGTATTTTGCACAAAGTCCATGGGACCATGGTTACCTGCCTGGGGGAGGAACCATAGTTCCCCCCAGCAGCTTCTGGCTCCTCAGGGCCATGGGCCAAGGGGATGGGCAGAGGTCTGTGTATGGTCCGGCCCACCTTCCCCTCATTAAACTCAGCCTGATTGCTGCCTACCTCTGGTTCCCTCTCTGCCCCTGCTTCCCCTATCATAGCATGGACTGCTGTGCTAAGAGGAAGGCTGAGCTGTGCTTGCCACTGCCAATTCAGCATAGACATGGCTTTGTTAGTGTTTCCTTTATTATAAAGTACTGAAATAAGTTAAATAAACAGGTGGGAGGCTGGGCAGTCCCCCAGCCAGTTTCTCCACAGCCTCTGGGAGCAGTGGAGGTGTATACAGGGCCCTTCTCACTGAGCTCATGAAGTGCACCAGTCAAGGCAAGGCCCGTGGTCCATAGTGTGCCTAAGTTAGTCTGTTGGAGCCCCTGGCCAGCGGGGGAGGAAAGAGAAGGTGGCTTCTGGTCCATTACAGGAGGGTCAGGGCTAATCCTACAGCCCTGGAGAAGGACCTAGTTCAGGGTGAGTCTGTATGGAGAGCCCGGCTACCAGTGGTGCCCAGGGCCGTCGGACCCCGAGAGCTCAAAACAGAGGTGGGGCTGTGAGGTGGGGCCCAGCCCTCAGAGGCAGAGAGGCCAGGTCCTCCTGTGCCACCATGCCCGTGCACCTTCTGGTGGCGTTTGTAGTTGTCCCAGTGGCCCGTGGTGTAGGCGCAGGTGGCACAGCGGAAGGGTTTCTCGCCTGTATGCCGCAGCATGTGGCGTTTGAGGTTCATGCTCTGGTTGCAGCTGTAGTTGCAAAGACTACACCGAAAAGGTTTGTCCCCAGAGTGGATGCGACCGTGACGCTTGAGGTTGGCCAGGTTGCCACAGGCATAGGGGCAGAGGGGGCACTTGTACGGCTTCTCTCCCGTGTGGACGCGCTGGTGTCGCTTCAGGTTATCCAGATGAGCAGAGGCATAGGGACAGCGGGCACAGCGGAAGGGCTTCTCACCACTGTGTGTCTTCATGTGCCGGGCCAGATGATTGGGATAGTGAGTGGCAAAGGGGCAGAGGCTACAGGCAAAGCCTTTGTCACTAGGGCCCTGAGGCCCCCCACTGGCACCTCCAGCCTCTCCTCGAATGCAACGCCCACACATGGCGGCTCCCAGCCGACTACCCTCGCCCTCCTCCAGCTCTTGTCCACAGCTTCGGCAGGTCCAAGGGAACAGCAGCTCTGGCAGTGGTTCTGATCCGGTCCCACAAAGGCCCTCCCCTTCACCCCGCAGCTGTCCACAGTCCGGCAGGAAACTGGCACCACCTGGCGGCACGTGGAGGCTCAAATCTGGAAGCAGCAGAGCATCTGTGGGAACAATGAGACCTGGTGAATCCAAGTACCCCTGGGCCACCCACCTGTGTCCCAGGTTCCGTGGTCCCTGGCATTTTACCTTCAGGTCGCCGGGGCACTGTCCCCTCCTGCTCTGTGGGACTGGGAGGCCGGACTGGACGAGGAGCACAGCAGCGAAAGCCACAGGTCGGGCAGGGAGGAGGGGGGGGCTCTGCATGGGTGCGTTGATGCCTCCTCAAGTTGCCCAGGCTGCTGCAGGCAAAGGGGCAGTGGGGACAGCGGTAGGGCTTCTCGCCAGTGTGGGTGCGAGTGTGTCGTGTCAGGTTGACCAGCTGGGCTGAGGCGTAGGGGCAGCGGCCACAGCGGAACGGCTTCTCCCCGCTGTGGGTCTGCATGTGCCGCTTCAGGTGGCTCGAGTAGTGGGACACGAAGGCGCAGAGGCGACATGAGTATAGTAGCCGTGGGGGCATCGGGGCCCCCCCACCTGGCTCTCCTGCCCCACAACACGGCCCCTCACCCGTCGGCCCCCCACACAGCTGGCAGGCTGGGCCTGGCCTCTCACCCCTAGCCTCCCCTGGGCCCCTGGATGGCTCCTCAGCTTCACTCTCCGCACTTAGTGCCCGGCCACCCCCAGACTCGTCGTCACTCAGCCCGTAGGGAGGCCCAGGCCTGGCCCCCAGAGAGTCTCCTGGTGAGACAGACATGAGAAGAGACATCAACGTTAGGTAGACTAGACTCCAAACACCCTTTCTCACTCATGGTCTTCCTTTGTGCTTGGCCCCACCTTTCTCTTCCTTCAGTGATCCCGAAAACTAAATATGAATTGTCTACTGCTGTGTCTGGACTAGCCTAGCACCTAGTTCCACTTAATGAGAAAAGATCAAGGACCACAAGGGACCACGGACTTAAATGAATCAACAATAATATAATTAACTGATTCTTAGGATACAAAAGAAAAAATACACCAGGAAGAGGCCTGGGACTTTTCTAAACTCTGTATTAGTAAGGCTTCTTTTACCATGGATCTGATTATAACAAGAGTGAGGCAAAACTGAGGGGAAAACAGAAATGAAGTAATGCATGTAACGCCACCTCAGCCTGAAGGATGCTTCAGGTGGGTTCCTGCCGTGACAAAAACAGCCTCATACGGGGCATGACTGAGGGCAGTGCGGCAAGTTAGGATGCGGTGGGAGGACTCGGAGGCAGAGGCCAAAACCTCACACAAAAGGAGCTTAAGCTACAGGTGAGGAGACTGGGCATGAAGTGCCAGCTCCAAGTTCCTCCCCCGAACCTGGGAAGTAAACTCGCATAGGCACGGGCTGCGGAGCGGGACAAGGTTACAAAAAGGACGTTTACTTTTAACCAGTGACTCCTCCACTGTCCTATTCACACCGCCTTTGGCCCAGGCCCCAGAGCTTCACCTCCGCACAGCGATGGAGCGGACCGGGCAAGTCGGCACGGGGAGTCTAGCTCACATCTAACCTCACCGTCTCCCGAGGGCTGGGTCCAGGGGAGTCCCCAAAACTCACCTTCGGAGTCTCTCTCGAAGCCCAGGAGCTGGTCGCTGCTGCCGTCACCTTCCTCCTCTTCCTCTTCCTCCTCAAACTCCAGGTCCTGGCCTAGCAGCAGGTCACTCTCCAGCACCAGGGCCCCCGGTCCTTCATCGAGGGAGTCTTCGGTGTCCACTGGAGAGGGGAGAGGCTGCGCGTTTTCTCTCAGGACCGTGCCCACCATCCGTCCCGGGGGCCTGGCCTCTGGACCGGAACCGGACTGCCCAGACCTGGAGACCCTCCGGGTTCCCTTCGTCCCTCGGTGGGCAGCTAGGAGCCCACAGCGCCCACACCATCCCTCAGGAGGCCCCCGCCACCCCGACCTGAACCCATCCACTGACCCCACCGCCGCTCCTCCCCCGCTACTGCGACCCCTGACCTTTGACCCCCTCGCATTTCACGGGCTGCGGGTGGCTTTGCTTCCTTCGGGGCATCGTGACCGGCTCCAGCCCGACGCGCCTCTGGCCTGCGGCCGCCCGGCCCCGCCCTCCCAACCCGGCGCACGGCCCGCCCTTCCTCTCAGGGCCGGGGAGCCCGCCCCCCATGCAGCGGTGTGGGCCCGGGGCAGCCCCCCGGCCCTTGGGCCCCGGGAGCCCAAGGTTCAGGGCCGCTCCCCGCTGGCCACCGCCGGGGTCCATTCATGGAGCCCCCTACCCCCCCCCCTACGGAGACCAGCTGGTACCTCCGTGCTCGCTTCCGCTTCCGCTACCGCAGAGCCGCACGGGACACGTAGTCCCGTCCGTGGGAAGCAGAGGCAGCAGGGCTCTCGCAGCGTGACCAGGAAGTGATTGTGACGAAAGGAAGGGAGGAAGCCAATCAGAGATCTGATAGAAGACGGCTGGCAAGGCCGCCTGGCAGTCCTGATCCCTCCCTGGAGGAGGAAATTATTCCTGACTCCGCAAGGGGGTGAGGATGAGTAGCGACAAGGCCAGCCTGCCAGTAACTCATGGAGCGAATACCTGGGCCCCTCTACTGGACACGCAGGCTCGCGTGGGACGGACCCACACGGACACCGCCCCCCCCCGCCCCCCGCCCCCCGAAATGGTTAGGTAGATGCTACTACTGATAGGGTCACCTGAAGTGCCCAGGCAACCTGGGTGACCAGGACAGGATGGAAAGGCAGCAAAGAAAAAAGGACACTATGGGTTTGATTAGGTTTTGGCCTTTAGTCTGAAAAAGTGTTTGATTGAAAGTGTACAACAGAGAGCAGGTGCAAGCGGCCGGGGCCATGGAGCCGCCAATAAAAAAGAATGTCCTTAAATAAAGTTCACAGAGTAAAAACCAGAACCTCCAGTCCTTCCCTCCAACACAACAGAGCACAGGCACAGAACCAGTGATGAGCCCCAAGGAGCAAAGAGGAGGCTGGGGAGAGCAGCACGGCTCCCGGGCTGCTGTGTGGAGGGTGAGCCCTCTTTGGAATGGGCTGAGTAAAGCCACCCAGTTCCCCCTGCACACCTCACAACCACTGCTAAGGCTAAAGGAAAAAGACAAAACTCAGTCTCAGGTCCGGAGGGCTCAGAAAACAGTCTCGGGGGCAGGAGTCTGGACAACCAAGTCCGCTAGTCCCGCTTGGCCTTCTTCTTGTTGTCACTGTTGCCATTTTCTTCAGCCTCCTCAGTAGAAAGCACCTCCTCCAGTTTCCGCTTGCCACTCTCTGGCTGAAGCTCTGCTGTGTTTCGGGGCTTGAAGCAAATGATGATGCAGGTCATGTTGTCACACCCTGTACCGTCCCCAGAAGTGTCTGGTGCCAGGCACTGATCCAGCAGCTACAAAATGGAAGGGGTAGCAGTTTTAAGGTTTGAACACCTTTCCGGGAACCTAAAGTCACACTAGAGGGGTGGTTGTGCCAGACAAGGTGGCAGAAGGAGAGAAATGGGTCACAGGTTATTACGAAACAGCCCATTTGCTAGTCCATGAGGCATAAGGTGAGTCAGGGAAATGAGGGAAGGTGGAACTTTCTACTCAGGGTTTGGCATCTGTCACTAATGAATGATACTCCTATGCTCTGGTCTTGGAGAAAACCTTGGCTCTGCAGCCCAGACACTCTTCCAAACTGGGACTCACCTCTTCCACGATGGATGACAATAACCGAAGCTCCCCATTTTCATCACGCTGGCTAATCTTTGACTGAATAAAGTCTATAACTTCCTGGCTGCTCATCACATTCCTGGGATCAGAAACAATAGTCAGAATCTTCTTTAGTCCCACGGAAAGCAGAGTGGAGGAATATGGATAGAGGTGAGTTTGGGTCAATGTAAACACAGAGATTGTCTTCAGCTCTGCCTTAGGCTTGGGCGTCTTGATACCAAGCTGTCTACCTAAACTCTAATCCTAGAGCAGCTTGAGAAAAGGTACTGAATGCAGCCATTCAATGGATGATATAAAACCAAAGCAGGCTCTAGCCCAGGGGTAGGCAAACTTTTTGACTCGAGGGCCACAATGGGTTCTTAAACTGGACCGGAGGGCCGGAACAAAAGCATGGATGGAGTGTTTGTGTGAACTAATATAAATTCAAAGTAAACATCATTACATAAAAGGGTACGGTCTTTTTTTTTTTTTAGTTTTATTCATTTCAAACTGGCCGGATCCGGCCCGCGGGCCGTAGTTTGCCCACGGCTGCTCTAGCCGGTCTGCTCTTTGAATAGAACATCAAACTGAAGGGTCCCAGATTCGAATCCAGTCAAGGGCACATGCCCAGTAGGGAGGGGCATGCAGGAGGCAGCCAATCAATGATTCTCTCTCATCATTGATGTTTCTATCTCTTTCTCACTCACTCTCCCTTTCTCTCTGAAATCAGTAAAAATATAATAAATAAAATCAATAGAAATATATATTTTAAAAAATAGTAAAAATAAAGCCAAAGGAGCTCAGAGCACTACATGAGAAGTAATGCTGCAGAAAAAGGAATTTTTAGGCATTCTGCCAGTGCTTACCAGATGCCATCACAGGCAATGACCATGAATTCATGGTCGTCTGTGAGAGTCAGCATCTTGATGTCAGGAAGGGCTGATATCATCTGTTCCTCAGGTGGCAAGTTCTTGTTTCTCTTATAGAAGTGATCTCCTTAAGTAAAGGAATAGTTGGTTAACAAATAGTTTGGGTACTTTTCACAGACTTGTGTTTGAAGCCTTGCCATTCATTTCCTTCCTTTCCATAATCTAATGGACAGGAGAACTGAGTTCTAGTTTCAACCCTGACTTTAGGATGAATCATAAGTAAATCACTAACCTGTTTTCTTTATCATCCAGAAATGATACCCATATTACCTATCTCATAGAGACATTTAAGGTTACAGGTGGTAGATACAAAAATATATGGAAAGGTACAAGGGCTATGAAAATTAAAACTTGCAACTACATAGTCTGAAACAGAGAAAAAGACCCCAAAGGTCTTTTCCATACATAGTCCCCTAGTTCTTACCAATGGCCCTGGAGAGGTTGAGGCCCCCGTTGACTCGACCATCCATGGTAACCTTGCCACCAGCATTCTTGATGCGTGCTAGCTCCACTTCATCCTCCGGCTTGTGGTCATAGGACATGTCTAAAGCTTTGCCAGCCTCAGACACCACACAGCGAGAGTCTCCTGCATTGGCTACAATCAACTGCTTCCCTCGTATCAGAGCCACTACAGCTGTTGTACCACTGTCAGAGCCAGGCTTAAGAAGGAGAAAGAAAGCATCATGGAAGCTTCTGGACACGAGCTCCCCTGACCATTCACCTATGCTTTCTCATCTCACTAGGACCACCAAGATAGCTTTAACAAAAAGGAGGATCACAAATTTTATATTCCCAGAGACTATGGCATGCTCCCTCTGTTTTCTGAGACAATTCTACCCAAAAGACCTCGTTCCCTTTGCAGAAAAAAATCCCCCCATGACCATGACTTCAATACTAAAAGAGCAAGGGGATCCCCTCCCAAAATCAAATCAGGGGATTCACAACTGCCTCTTGATTCTTCTAAACCCACTACTCCCCGTTCCCACAGACCTCCTCTTTGCCTTCCATCCCAGGGACCATCATCTCCTCCTCTTCTTCCTCATCCTCTTCAGCCTCCTCGGTGTCATCCTCATCTTCTTCATTTTCTGCCTCTTCACTGCTGTAGCCATCCTCTTCCTCACTGCATTCCTGCCAGAGGGATGATTCCAGGCAACTGAGACTGGAATAACCTCCTGCCCCACTCCCCCAACTCCTATTCAAAACAAAGAGGCCCTGCTGAACACAGGTCCTCAAAACACTAAAAGATGCAACTATATGATCACGGTGAGAAATATGGGGGAAGGGAGAGGGCTAGCATTGGAATAACTGATATCCTGAACTGGGCTCACCAGGGGAAGGCCAAGGCAATCAGCCTAAAGCACCTTCTAGGCAACATGACCAGAAAGTAAGTTGCCCAGAAAAGGAAATATCCAAATATCCAAAGTAATAACCACCATCTTCCTATTCTCTCTCGAGGAGACAGACTCTTTCAAGGCCACAACTAAATCTATTTGTTAGTGTATCAACAAAGAAAGAGGTAAGAGGGCTAATGGTACATGTGTTGGTGGAGATAATGAACCCAAGAAAAGTTTAGCATATAGTGGGTCTTTGGGGATGATGTCAAAATAGAAGAGTCAAACAGCTATGAATGGCAACCAAACAGGCCCCTCTGCAATTTCAGTATCTATCAGCCCCTACAGGCCCTTACCTCGCTGTCTTCCTCTTCCTCCTCCGCCTCATCTGACTCATCCTCACTGTCCTCAAAGAACTTGGACTTAGCAACTCGAGGCAGCTTGTCGGAGGCTGAAGAGCAGGAAGGCCCAGCCTCACCAGTGGGAATGCCAGGCTCACCACCTTGGCCTGCCTCTGTACGTTCCGAGTTGGAGGAAAGGCCTGTGTGGACCTTGGCTGTGGGACCATTTTCCTCTGAAGAAGATTCCCTAGATGGGTCCTCAGATCCTGCCTCCCCATTGAGGCCCTGGGACCCTGGTTCCTCGCCTGTCCCAGCTCCAGATTTGCTGTGGGGAGCACCCTTGTGACAGTTCTGCCCGTAGCGTGTCAGCAGCTCTTCAATAGTCATGGTAGCCTCTTCATGCAGCAGTGCAGCCTCCTCATTGTCCACTGCAGGTAAGAGGCTAAATCAGCGCCCCCATGCCAGATTCCTCATGGGATTGGTCACTCTTACTACATCCACTGCCCTTGCAGCCTGAGTTCCAACTTCCCCACCACTCCCTACTCCTAAGGGTCCTCTCACTTACCAAGTCTCAGAAAAACACCCTTTTGCTTCCTTCTCAAGTAACATCTGCCTCCATAGCCTTCCTTTGGTCTTTGTCTTTCACCCCCTTCTTAGTCAAAGGATCACTAGGTATATTTTCCTTATCATCTCATTTTTTATTGGTAAGTTGGAAACCCTATTCTGACTGAGGACCCGGGAAGCCCACAGTGCCAGTCTAGGTCTACGACCAAGGCTTAATGACTGGCTGCTGGGGCTAATGACAGCTCCGGTCTTGAAAAACAGTCACATAAATATTAATAGGAACCAGAAAGACCCCATCACAATGACAAAAAATAATGCACATAAAAATGCTTACAACTAAGACACTAGGCACTCAACAAAGGTTAATTCTATTTCTCCTTTTCATAATCACATGCAATGCAGGAGAACATAGGGTTCTTTAATTTGAGGACTCTCTAAGTGCATAGGAAGTCATCCTCTCTTAGAATTGATAAAGAAATAACATATACTAAATAATAGTATTTTAAAATGCTGATTTCCTCTCAAACATGAGATGCCACACTTACCATCATCTTCATCAGCTACTTTTTCTTTTTCATCTTCATCCTCAGTGGGTCGCCCTGCAATCTGTGCCAGCTCCTTAATGACTTCCTCAGTGGTCAGTTTGGCATCAATAGCCAAGAAGGCATCTTCCAAAGCCTGAATATAAGCAAAACAGTATGAGGCAAGTATAGGGAAAAGTACAGCAGGTATAAAATAAATTGCCTAGATAGAATCCTAGTCACAAGGATGGGGTGCAAATTAGAATGTGATCCTCCACACTAGGAGACACTCGTATATACATGAAAAACAGTTCAGAGACCTGGGGATGATAAGGCAGCTCTAAAAAGACTTAAGTGGGAATAAGCTTATTTTATTTTTAAATATGGAACGCTTCACGAATTTACGTGTCATCCTTTGCAGGGGCCATCCTAGTCTTCTCTGTATCATTCCAACTTTAGTATATGTACTGCCAAAGCGAGCACGGAATAAGCTCATTTTAGGCAACGAATTCTTTAAGAAGTTAGGTGGCAATGAGAAAGGAAAAGCTAAGGATCAGAAAACAGGGGAAAGCCTACAGAAGGGAAGAATGAACATTGTGGGAAGACAGACCTTCTGTAGCTTGCCTTCTTTGTAAGCCTTCTGATCTTTGATGATATCAGGAAGATATTTGGCACAATACAAGGCAACTTCCTCCCCTAGAAGAAAGGTAAGGTCACCCAGAGCACTGCTTCCCACACATAGAAAGTAATATAATATCTATATGTCATACTGGAATAAACTCCAAGCGTTGAGGAGATAAATATCTTAGCACAACTCAAACCTATTTGAAAGACAACCTTTGGGAAGTTTTGACTCAGAAAATGGACTTCCCAATCACATCTCTTGGGGCTATATTAATATATCCCTTGTTGTTTTTCACTTGCATACTTAGTTTTTAGTGAAGGGGGGAAAAAAGCTAATGTAGGAAGATTCTTTTCTGGATTAAAACAAGGCCTGGAAGAGATTATGGACCAATACAATATCCTATTAGGACGGAAGAATGGCAGAATAGAGAAAAACAGCATGAGGCAGGAAATGGTATTGAAGGACCAGAACTTTGGAAAGTAAAAGAACAAAGGACCTGTTCTTGCCCTATAAAGTCTGGAATTAGAGTATTAGGATGTTATCAATATGATCTGTTAAAGTTACCTCCATGTCCATCATAGACAGAAAACATAGCTGTCTCACTGTCCAGCTCAGGAATACAATTGTGAGCATCCTAGGAAAAAGAAGAGAATAATTAGCATTTCTCAAGGCCAAAGGATAGTCTTCCTCAAGTCATGAGGATCATGTTCACACCTTAATCTTACTAATTTTTTAACCCTTCACTAGCTGACCTATGGGCCTAGAAATAAGAAAGGAAGATGGAATGATAAACTAAGAAAAGAAGTACAGGAGATGGCGAGAGGAAGAAGAGAGATGAATCAGGTCACTACCTCTGCAGTCTAGCAGCCTCAAGCCTAGGAGATATCAGTCATCCAGATGGCAGAATGCTTGGCTGTTGGAACTCTAGACCTGACCTTTTTGGATTTGTGGCAACTATGGGAAGAACCAGAATAAAGGATCTTTTAAGTCACTTCCAGATCCATTCCATGAACCAGTGAACTTCAAGTAGCCATGCTACCATATATACTACATGATCTCTGGCCAGCTATCTCTTACCTTAATTTCATCATTTATAAAATGAAATAAGAATATCTACCTTGCCCATATCATCACAGAACTATAAATTGGAATTATTTAGCACCTGGCTCACATTTTTCTTCTCTATCCTTATTCTCAAAAAGGAATGCACACCATAAAGATTCATCTTATACCTTGAGGTCTCAGTTCCTAGAACTACTCCACATTACCTTCTCCTCTACTTCCCGGGAGGCTTGAATCTATATTATCACTTGGAACTGTTCCACCTTCTCTAAGCACTTAAATTTCCACCTTGACACCTTTGATCACAGCCTCCCTACCTTTACCCTTGCCTTTATTTCTCTCTGTCCCTTTTTGAGCCAAAGCTAAGTACTTCAACACTGTCTCTTAGCAAGCTAGAAAACCTCATCCAGAAAGATCTCTGGGAGGTGAGACTAATTGGACCTTAAGGAAAGAGTGTAACAGACAAATGAGATGGAGGAAAATGGAAGAAGAAAAAGTATTAGAAGGAGGGGTAGGAGGAAAGGCTCTGAGACAAGCATGCTTACTATGCTGGGCTGGGGTGGTCAGTGTCAAGAGTGTCTTTTGGGGATTAGTTATGAGAGGTAAGAGGTCCAATTAGTCTCACCTCCCAGAGATCTTTCTCAATCACACTAATGTTCTATGATCACTTCCCCCTCTGAACTCTTAATATTATTGCCTCTATCAATAATTTTGGCACTCAGCATATGCTACCTTGTACTGTTATCCAATATTCCATGGGGGAAAAAGGAGTCCTAGGTCTTAACTAGACTATAAACCAACATGAAAGCAAAGGCTGTCTTAAATTTCTTTATAGCTCAGGGGCCTAACAGTATGTTCTGCAACACAGCAGGACTTCCACGTTTGCTCCTAATGGTGGGCTCCTAGATGCCTCAGGACAAATAAATTAAGGATACCTCCTCCTTCATTTCCTACCTCAAACCCAGAGATGTATCATATCATAACACAATAACCATTGAGATGGTCTGGAAGAGATGACTCAGAATACACAGGTCATCTGAGTCAAGGCTCTTAGGCCTTGTCTTACTAAACCATGTATCACACAACCCCTTCTGACCTAGATAATCAGTGGATCTGTACTAATAAAGCCTTGATTATCCCCCCTCCCCCCCATGTCAATCTCCTACGGTTATAAATACACCCACAAACACTCACTGGATCAACCATTTGGATCCACGATACATAAATTTATCTTAACCTTTACAAATCAATTTTTAAAATGTGAAGATGGTTTGGAAAGGAATTACACATTTTCTTTTCTTCTAAGTATTGAACAAAAAGGCCTAGCTAGACCTGGCTGGGTAGCTCAGTTGGTTAGAGTGTTGTTCTGATACACCAAGGCTACGGGTTCAATCCCCGGCCAGGGCACATACAAGAAGCAACCAATGAATGTATAAATAAGTGGGACAAATTAATCTCTCTCTCTCTCTCTCTCTCTCTCTCTCTCTCTCTCTCTCTCCCTCCTTTCTATCTCTCTAAAAAAATCAATCAAGCCCTAACTGGTTTGGCTCAGTGGATAGAGCGTCAGCCTGCGGACTCAGGGGTCCCAGGTTTGATTCCAGTCAAGGGCATGTACCTTGGTTGCGGGCACATCCCCAGTGGGGAGTGTGCAGGAGGCAGCTGATCGATTGATCGATGTTTCTCTCTCATCGATGTTTCTAACTCTCTATACCTCTCCCTTCCTCTCTGTAAAAAAACAATAAAATATATTATTTTTAAAAATCAATCAATAAAATGTAAAAGGCCTAGCTAGAGAAGATGAGAGAACTAATTCTCAAATTCATCTTGACATTACTTTTATTTATTTATTTTTTTTAAATATATTTTATTGATTTTTTTACAGAGAGGAAGGGAGAGAGATAGAGAGTTAGAAACATCGATGAGAGAGAAACATCGATCAGCTGCCTCCTGCACATCTCCTACTGGGGATGTGCCCGCAACCCAGGTACATGCCCTTGACCGGAATCGAACCTGGGACCTTTCAGTCCGCAGGCCGACGCTCTATCCACTGAGCCAAACCGGTTTCGGCGACATTACTTTTAAATTATACTAGTATGCATGTATTATCACTGTGCTATAGACTTAATGTTTTGTGTCCCCCTAAAATGCATATATTGAAATGTAATCAATCCCCAATGTGATGTATCTGGAGGTGGGCCCTTTGAGTGGTCATGAGGGAAGAGTCCTCACGAATGAGATTATAAACGAAATGCCAGAAAGCTCCCTTGCCTTATGGAGGACACAGCTAGAAGACAGCCGTCTATGAACCAGGAAGTGGGCCCTTATCAGACACCTTAATCTTGGACTTTCCACTAGGGTCTAGGAAAGATAATCTGTACACCCACATTTACAGCAGCTTTATTCACAATAGCCAAAAAAGGTAGAAACAACCCAAGTGTCTATCAACAGATAAATGAACCTTGAAGACATTATGCTAAGTGAAATAAGCCAGATACAGCCGAAACCGGTTTGGCTCAGTGGATAGAGCGTCGGCCTGCGGACTGAAGGGTCCCAGGTTCGATTCCGGTCAAGGGCATGTACCTGGGTTGCGGGCACATCCCCAGTGGGAGATGTGCAGGAGGCAGCTGATCGATGTTTCTCTCTCATCGATGTTTCTAACTCTATCTCTCTCCCTTCCTCTCTGTAAAAAATCAATAAAATATATTAAAAAAAAATAAGCCAGATACAAAAAGACAAATCTGTCTTTATATGAGGATTTTTTTTTCAAAATATATTTTTATTGATTTCAGAGAGGAAGGGAATGGGAGAGAGAGAAATATAAATGATGAGAGGGAATCATCGACTGGCTGCCTCCTGCACGCCCCCTAGTGGGGATCGAGCCCACAACCAGGGCATGTGCCCTTGACCTGAATTGAACCCGTGACCCTTCAGTCCACAGGCTGATGCTCTAACCACTGAGCAAAACCAGCTATGGCTATATGAGGAGATTTTATAGGATGATTACATGTCAGCACGTGAATTTTAGGGGATGCAGAACATAAAATCTATAGCACAGTGGTAATACATGCATATAATTTAAAAAGTCAGATAGTAAAACCAACATGTAATTCTCTTCCCATCCACTTAGAAAAGTCAAATTTCATAGAAAGAAAGTAGAATGGTGGTTGTGAGGGACTTGAGAGAGAGGAGGATGAGGAGTTGTTTAATGGGTACAGAGTTTCAAATTTGCAAAATGAAAAGAGTTCGGGAGATTGGTTGCACAACCATGTAAAATTACTTAACACTACGGAATTGTAGATTTAAAAATGAGTAAGATGGTCAATTTTATGTTATGTGTATTTTACCACAATAAAAATAACAAATATATTTTTAAAAAACAAACAACAAAGACAAAAGGGAAAAAAACTTCCCACAAAGAAAAGCCCAATCTCAGATGGCTTCACTGGTAAATTCTACCAAATACCTATAGAATTAGCCCAGCTGGTGTGGTTCAGTGGTTGAGCATTGACCTAGGAACCAGGAGGTCACAGTTCGATTCCTGTCAGGGTACATGCCTGGGTTGTGGGCTCGATCCCCAGTGGGGGACATGTAGGAGGCATCCAGTCGATGATTCTCTCTCATCACTAATGTTTCTGTCTCTCCCTCTCCCTTCCTCTATGAAATCAATTTAAAAAACACCTTTTTTTTTTTTAAAAAAAAGAATACCAATTCTTGATAGTCTTTCAAAATACAGAAGAGTCTGGCCGGTGTAGCTCACTGGTTGAGCATCAACCTATGAACCAGGAGGTCTCAGTTCGATTCCAGTCAGGGCACATGCCTGGGTTGCAGGCTCTATCCCTAGTGTAGGGCATGCAGGAGGCAGCCAATCAATGATTCTCTCTCATCATTGATGTTTTTCTCTCTCTCGCTCTCTCTCTCTCCCTTCCACTCCCTCTCTAAAATCAATAAAAATGTATTTAAAAAAAGAAACAAAAACAAAATATAGAAGAGGAGGTAACATTTCTCAACTAATTCTATGAGACCAGTATTATCCTGATACCAAAACCTGCAGATACCACAACAAAACTACAGACTTAATAATGTTAAAGTAGTAATGCTCCTCAGTTGAGCTACTAAAATCCCAGATGCCTGTTGTGCAGAAATTAACAAGATGATACTAAAGTTCATATGGAAATGCAAGGGACCCAGAAAAGAAGAAAAGAGTAAAAGAACAAAGTTGGGAGATACACTTCCTGACTTGAAAACTTACCACAAAGCTATAGCAACCAGACAATGTGGTACTGGCATAACAATAGGTATGTAGATCAATTGAATGGCATTAAGAGTCCATAAATAAACCCTCATATTTATGGTCAACTGATCTCTAACAATAATGCCAAGATAATTCAATGAGGAGAAAGAATAGGCTTTTTAACAAATGGTGCTGAGACAACTTGATAGCTACATGCCGAAGTATGAAGGGCGATCCCTTCCTTACACTATACACAAAAAATAACTCAAAATGAATCTCGGATGTAAATGTAAGAGCTAAAACTATAAAACTCTCGATAAACTGGACTTAACTTTTGTGCT